TATCGATAGGGATAAAACATTTTAAAAAAAAATAGAAAAATGACCAACCGAATCATTACAATTATTAAATTTACAATTAAATATTTATACATATTTAATAGGTGTTCTAATACAAATACAAAATAAAAATTATTGAATCCGTCCAAATTTTAACTAATACTCTCTTTTCGCCCTTGTATATATGACATATTTGTTTGGCCGATAGAGCTATCTTTGTCAATGTGTCTGACGTTCTTCATAATCTTAGTACAGTACTATTTATTAGATGTGAGGCGTATGGGGACAATCTGCATGTGAACCATATAAAGAAAAGACATAATATCATACACTTGTGAGGTTAGATTCTTTGAAGGGAACCGTGGCTAGAATTATTATAAATTCAACTTTTAGTTTTAAATTTTTAAAGTGACAATTCATGACCATCTTTAAACACAAACAAAAGTTCAAATGACCATAAATGCATAAATATATGGCTCAAAAGATGACCATAAATATAAAAAGGAAAAATTATATAATTACACGATTTAAAATAATATAATTTTAAAAAAAATTCTATTATTTAAATTAATGACAAGAATTTTCTTTTTCCTTCTTTCTCTCTTAACATCCGGATACATCACTCCATCTCTATCAGATACATTATAACTTTGTTTGTGTACATTGTATCTGATAAAACCAGCAGCATAAGCTGTGAAACAATATACTTCCTCCATTAATGGAGGTTGAGCTTTCACCAACAATCAAAGAAGAAGGAAAGAAAAGATATTATTGAGAATGTAAAAACTAAACTGTAATCAATACAATGTATGTGTATATATACACACTGATAGAATAATCCCACTTCTAACAAACGCAACTAACTATTTATGCTGAAATGGTAAACGTGTGATTCCTAACTAACTAACCAACTAACTTTGTGAATGAGCAGTGACTAACTAACTAACTAATTCTATGAATTAACAGTATACACTAACTGATCTAATCTTATCACCCCCCCTCAAGTTGGAGGTGAGTGATGTACAGACAACTTGCTCAATAAATTAGTATGCTTGACTCCAGTCAAGGCTTTAGTAAAAACATCAGCCAATTGTGAGTTTATGGGGATGTGTTGGAGTGTAATCAATCCTTGCTGCAGCTTGGTTCTGACAAAATGGCAATCCACCTCTATGTGCTTAGTTCTCTCATGAAAAACTGGATTCTTAGCACTGTGCACTGCAGCTTGACTATCACAGAAGACATGTATAGGTAAGGAACACTGCACTGATAATTCATCAAGCAATCTCTCTAGCCATACTAATTCACCCACAACCTGTCTTACAGCTCTGTATTCAGCTTCTGCTGAAGATAGTGACACTGTGGCTTGCTTCTTAGATTTCCAACTAACAGGGCTATCACCCATGAGTACTAAATAACCACTCACAGACTTCCTTGAATCAGGACAAGAGGCCCAATCTGAATCACAGTAAGCACTGATGGTGAGGTCAGATTTGTTAAAGATAAAAACTCCTAATGTAGGATCTTGTTGCAAATATCGAAGCACATGATAAGCTGCCTTCAAGTGAGGTTCTCTAGGAGATTGCATAAACTGACTGAGGTGCTGGACACTATATGCTATGTCCATCCTTGTGTGAGTAAGAAAATTAAGCTTGCCTACTAGCTTTCTGTAATGAGTAGGATCTGACAATAGTGTGCCTTCTGTAAGCTTCAGTTTCTCAGTGGAATCCAATGGTGAAGTGGTGGATTTATAAAGCATGGAGTCAAATTCCTTCAAGAGATCAAGAGTAAACTTTCTCTGTGAGATGAGGACACCATTTTGTCTGTACAATATCTCCAAACCAAGAAAGTAATGCAGCCTTCCTAAGTCTTTTATCCTGAATTGCTCATGTAGGAAAGCTTTCAAAGAACCAATCTCCTTCATGTCAGTACCAGTTAAGATGATATCATCAACATATACAGCCACAAACACTAGAGAGCTTCCATTCTTCTTATAAAATAGGGAATAGTCACTATCTGAATGAATGTATCCTTTTGAGCAAAGACGGATGGCCAGCTTGTCATACCATTGCCTGCTAGCCTGTTTTAAACCATACAAAGACTTCTTCAATCTGCAAACTATGTCACTGCTATCCACTGCCAGGCCAGGTGGTAATGCCATGTATACTTCCTCATTTAAATCACCATGGAGGAAAGCATTATTGACATCTAATTGATACAGATTCCAACCTTTCTTGACTGCTAAAGAATCAGAGTTCTGACTGTGGTCATCTTTACCACAGGTGAGAAGGTTTCATTATAATCTATTCCAGCTTGTTGAGTATACCCCTTCACCACTAGTTTAGCCTTGAACCTTTCTATACTGCCATCTGCTTTGTGTTTAATTTTGTACACCCATTTACACCAAATAACATTCTTTCCTTTAGGCAATTAACTAGTTCCCAAGTATCATTTGCATACAAGGCATCAAATTCCTGTGTCATCGCCACTTGCCAAACAGGATTCAAAATTGCCTCTTCATAAGAAGAAGGTTCAACATCATGTGAAACATTATGGATCAACTACTGGCTATCAGAACATAGTGTGGTAAAACAGACATGATCAGGGTGAGATATGAATGAAGTGAGTGAGTGTTGTGGATCAGGAACATCAGTTATGGGTGGAGAAGGATGTAGATTGGGTAATGAGTATGTGTAATCTTTCAAGTAACGAGGAGTGTGAAGGGACCTAGTTGTTCTTCTAGGTGCAAGAGGAGCATCACCAAGGGCAGAAACAGTAGGGTCAGCAAGAGGTATAGGGATTGCAGGTTCAGTGGTAGGTGCATTATCAGTTGTGGGAGTGTGATCATTAATGACTTCAACCAATGTGTGAGAATTCAACATTTCATCATCAACAAAGTTGTTTGTTTTTACTAGGCATGCAAGGTGACAGTTTTAGAATGATGTACAAGGAACTGCAAGATAGAATTGAAACTAGAACCAACTGGAGCAATAACAAAAGGAAAAATGACTTCATAAAAAAGAACATCCCTGGACACATGAATTCTCTTGGTAGCCAAATCTAAGACCTTGTAACCTTTTGTATTAAAAGGGTATCCAATGAAAATGTGGGGTGTTGTTCTTGGTTCAAATTTGTCCTTATGGTTTTTCAAGGTAGTTGGAAAGCAAAGACATCCAAAACTTCTAAGGTGGGAGTAGGTTGGTTTCTTTTGATATAACAGTTCATATGGGGATTTGTTCTGTAGGAGTTTTGTGGGTAGTCTATTGATCAAATAAGTGGCAGTAAGGACACATTCTCCCCAATATCTCATGGGCAATTTTGACTGAAACAGAAGTGCTCTTGCTGTCTTAAGAAGGTACTTATGCTTCCTTTCCACCACACCATTTTGTTGTGGTGTGTAAGGACAGGATTTTTGGTGTATTATGCCTTTTTCCTGAAAGAACGGGTTGCCTCAGTGCTGGTGAATTCCAGACCATTATCAGATCTGATGGTTTTTAAATTGGTATGAAATTGATTTTCTATGAGGGATATGAAAGCTTTTATCGTTTGAAATGCATTGCTTTTGCACCTAAGAAGTTGTGTCCAGGTTGATCTACTGTAATCATCCACCATGGTTAAGAAATAGTGATAGCCATCATGTGTTGGTACATGATATGGTCCCCATAAATCAATGTGAAGTAGTTCAAACAGTGAGCTGGTTGCAGTTGTACTCTCTGGAAATGGCATTCTAGTTTGTCTAGCCATGGGACATATTGTACATATGAAGGGTTGTTTGCTGGAAAAAGTTAGGGGAATAGTAGATATACTCCTCATTTTTACAAAAGGCACATGTCCTAATCTAGCATGCCATAAGAATTCAGTGTCATGACTGTGAGTATGGTTAATAGCAGAGAAAGAATCAACAGCAGAACATGAAACATGATCAATAGAACAAGCCTCTTTATTGATTTCACGAGAGTATCTTACATTTTGTGGTGAAGCTTGGGATTCACTTTCAATTGAAACTTTCTTGCAGTAGTTAAAAAGAGAAGCAGGTGGACAATTGTGACACTTTGGACAGAAAAATACAGACCATTCCTTGCCTTACCAAGTGCCAGAGGGCTCTTCAGAGAAGGGCCCTGCAGTAAGACAAGAAAAACTGTTAAAACTAACTATTCCTTTGAGTTGAACAGCCAAGCAATGAACAGATATTAGATTGAACTTGAAGCTAGGTATAAACAATACTTTGTACAGAGTCAGTGTTGAATTCAACAAACATCACCAATTTCAGTCACTTTAACTTTGTATCCATTTGGTAAGGTGATTAAGAAGGGATAAGGCAGTGTTCTAAGGTTTGTGAGAGTGTCTCTTGTGTATGTCATGTGATGAGAAGCTCCTGAATCTATGATCCAAGAACCAGCAGTCAATTTTTCACATTTACATGATAAATCACCTATCTCAGTAATAGAAGAATAGCAAGCAAGTATACCTGCTAGGTTTGCAGCTCCACTTGACATGTTCCCTGAGCAATCAGTTCCATTTCCAACCTGCAGAGTCCCAAGCAAATTGAGTAGTTGTTCATACTGGCCTTTGGACAGGTTCAATGGCATTTGCCTTCCCTGCTCAGGAGTTTCTTCACACTGACTTCTATCATCCTCAGAAGAATGCACATTTGCTGCAGATCCTGAGCCTCTTCCTCTTAGGTTTCTTGTGTTGGCTGGGTAACCATGCAGCTTGTAGCATCTATCTTTAGTATGCCCAGTTCGTTTGCAATATTCACAGAACAAGGTTGACCTATTGCCAGAGCTGGAATTCCCTCTAAAAGTATTGGAACTGCTTGCACCTCTGCCTGCACCTCCTCTAGAAGAATTGTAGTTTGCATTGTAGTTTGTATTAAAACCTTTAGGTCCTGCATTGTATTGTGGTGACACAGAGGCATTTAGAGAGGTGAATTCCAAAGCCATGTGACTGAGAGGCTTCATTTCCCTCTGCCTTTCCTCTTGTGACAGAATGGAAAATGTTTGTGCCATAGTTGGTAGATCAGACATAAATGTTTGTGCCATAGTTGGTAGATCAGGCATCATGAGGATGTTTCCACGTACAATAGTATACATCTCATTTAGGCCCATCAAAAAATGTATAAGTCTTCTATCTTGCTCAGCCTTATGCATCCTCGTTTTTCCACCACAAATGCACACACAAGTGCATTGAGAATTGACATCAAGAGTGTTCATTTCTTCCCACAACTTCTTCATCTTAGTATAGTAACCGGTGACATCCAAATTGCCTTGCACAAGGTCATTTATCTCCTTCTGTAGTTGATAGAGTTTGCAACCATTAGTTTGGTCATATCTATCCTCCAACTCCTCCCAAAGTTCCTTGGCATTATTAACGTATTGCAAGCTATCTCGCAGATCTGGTGAGAGAGAATTTAAAATCCAAGAGGTCACCATGTCGTCACACCTTTCCCACTGCATGAAGGTTGGATCTGCAGAATTTGGCTTCACAATTTTTCCATTGATGAATCCAGTTTTACTCTTAACAGATAAAGCCCGAAGAACTGCTCGTCTCCATGACCTATAGCTAGTTCCATCAATAACAGCAGGAAGTAAAGTAGAGCCTGCATTCTCTGAGGGATGCAAATAGAAGGGGGAATTGAAATCCAATCGAGTTAAAGTGTTGGTAGCAGTCGTGTCACCTGGAATGTCTCCCATAGAAGAAGATGAAGGAGAATGCAAATACAGATGAATTATGAAGATGAACTCACAATAAGCAAGTTTGAATCGAAACAGAGGAACAATAATGAGATCGTTCAGAGAAAATCAGGGAGAAGATGACGGCCAGACAAATATCGGCAAATCGAGCTGAATTCAGTGCTCATGACGAGAGAGAGGAGCAGGAATCTTATGGCTCTGATACCATGATAAAACCAGCAGCATAAGCTGTGAAACAATATACTTCCTCCATTAATGGAGGTTGAGCTTTCACCAACAATCAAAGAAGAAGGAAAGAAAAGATATTATTGAGAATGTAAAAACTAAACTGTAATCAATACAATGTATGTGTATATATACACACTGATAGAATAATCCCACTTCTAACAAACGCAACTAACTATTTATGCTGAAATGGTAAACGTGTGATTCCTAACTAACTAACCAACTAACTCTGTGAATGAGCAGTGACTAACTAACTAACTAATTCTATGAATTAACAGTATACACTAACTGATCTAATCTTATCAGTATCTGGTATAATTAATGTTATTGTGAATATATAACCCCAATTATTTCAAACCTAAATCAGTATGAATCTGCTTTATAGTTATGTTATCTGATAATATATAACTTAAGTATATGATACATAACATATTGTCCTCCATAGTTTAGTGCCATCGTAAGATGAAGTCCTTCATTGCCTTTGGTCGCCTCTTCTGTTAACTCTATGCCTTTCTGTAATTTTATCGGAAGTCTGGATCTACCTCCAATAACAGACACCCGTACTC